AGGGGGTGAGGAGCCTTGTGCATGTTGCTAGGCTTGTACTTGAGCTTTGCCTAGCACTAGTAGCTGATTAGGTCAGACGAGCTCCCAGTATCAATTAAGATCCGGCCAACTCGTTGATTGCAACCTTGCATTCGATGACGATGGGGTCATCATGGGGCCGCCTGACCGTACCCCGATCCTTCTCAGAGATGAAGACCTCAGGGAAGATGTCTTTCGACGCCTGGCCCTCATCCTCTGGGTTGGGTAGTTTCCGGATGTTATCCTTGGTACCGCGGATGGTAGGACCTCCGCCTGCGAAGCCGCCTGCTATGGTGAAGATGGGCTCTTCATCAGTATCAGAACTCACAGCCAGCTTCTTTGACGATTGTCCATTGTTGGGTTTGGGGTTACCCTTGGACTTCACCAAGTAGGACTTCAAAGCCCCCTCGTCGGCCAGACGGTCCAATAGCCACCTAAGGCTGTAGCAACCATTGGTGTCATGGCCAACGTCCTCATGGAAGTGACAATACTTACTCTTGTCACGATTGTTGATAGAACTCTTCATAGCAGCCGGTTTTTCAAGATTTAACCGGTCTTTGATCTCCATGAGGATGGAGGAGCAGTCCTTGTTGAACTCGTACTTGGGGACGTATGGTTCCACTTTCTCTGTTTCTTCTGGGACAGCTGACCAGAGCGATCCGCCGCCCAGACTTCTTTTCTTTTCTTGCCCTCTTCTTTTTTGGCCGGCTGGGTAGGCCGGATGTCTCTCTTGTCGGACCGTCTGGGCTCCAACGATTGCTTGATGGCACAGAGTTCCGTCGCCTGTATGTAGGCTTCGGCTTCCATCAAGGCCTCTTTGAGGGTAGCCACCCTCTTGCGGATCAGGTCGAACTTGAAGGTCGACCCATCCTTCAGACCCTTGAAGAAGTCTATATATGCAACTTCATCAGACAGCCCTTGAATCTGAATTCTCATCAGATTGAACCGCTTGACATAGGACCGTAGTCCCTCCTTGTCTCCTTGCTGAATAGCCCCTAGGTCGAGACTTGTCTTTTTGGCAGGGATGTTCATGGAGAAGTTGGACGCAAACAAGTATGCAAGCGTCTTGAAGCTATTAATGCACCCGGCTAGTAGGTTGTCAAACCATCGTTGGGCTATGCCTTTCAATGTAGCCGGGAAGCATTGGCACCAGGCAGCATCATCCAACCCCTGTAGGTACATGAGGTTGGTGTATGCCATTAGGTGGTCTTCCGGGTTGGTGGTACCGTCGTAGGTACCAACCAACACATTTTTAACCTTGGCCGGCTGTGCCGCCTCATTTATTTCTCGGGAGAAAGCCAAAGGATGTTCCCCAAGGTTGAGCAGCCGGAGCTGCCAGTCCATGGACTGGACCTGATGAGCCGCCTGACCCCCAAAGGGGGACGGCTGCATGTATGGTGATCCATACGGCATGTATGGTTGTTGGGGCACATACGGAACCGGCTGGATGATATGAGGGCCAGTACTGCGGACATGCCGCGTGACTGACTCCCTTGATGTGTCTCCGAATGCTTCATTGAAGTATTGCGGAAACTGTCTGGGTAAGTCGACGTCGAGGCCAACCCAGACATTTGCTGACTTCTCTTCTCCTGGATGAACATCCGGGCGTCAGAGAAAGTCTTTTTTGACCCATCCGGCTGAACTTGTCGGATGGCCTTCCTTTGCCCTGGTTCAAGGAAACGAAGTTTTGAGAGGTCGATCAGGGGCCCATCTGTCCCCTTGGGTTTGGGGTGAGGAGTAGGCACCCGGTCTTTGATTTGCTTCTTCCCGGAGGAAGAAAGCTTCTTTGCCGACTAACCCTTGTTTGAGCCAGTTGACTTCTTGATTATGTCCTTTATTTCCCCTTTGAAACTCGTCATGAATTTCATGAGCTCGTCTCTGATGACGGAGGTTGTACCCTCTGCCGCCTGGGGTTGCCCAGCGTGCTTACCGCCTGGGTTGCTGGGACCAACTTTGTCTTAGCCCCGTTCCCTTGTTTCTTTGGAACGGACGCGCCTTGTTCGAAGTGACCCGTCTAGGGCCACATAGTTGTCGACCTCTTAGTCGTCACCACTATCATGGTCCGTATGGACCTCAGGTTCAACCGTAGGCCGGCTGCCTTCTACAGGCGGTACAGTGTCGGATGCCATCTCAGAAGTACTCTCTCCACAGACGGCGCCAAATGTTTCGGGGTTTTTGAAGTCCCTCGGGAGAGTTACAATCCTGAGTATGCGCGCCTAACATTCGTACCTGCAAAACCACGAAACTCCGATTGGGTGGAGTTCCACCTTCGACGATCAAGTTAGTATGATTCCGGATGGGTAAAAGTGCGGAAAGTAAATGGGTATTTCTCCCTGATTTAGAGAGATTCCGCAATTAATATTGCTCGGTTTTTGGTGTATGTGTTTATGGATGTTTGTGAATGACCAATAAATGAGGAGTTTCTTCTATTTACAGCAGATGAAGATCTGCTCCCCTATTAGGGTTACAATGCCACATGTCAGCATCCAATTGGATCCCAATGGGCCTTTAAAGGGCTGCCACGTGTCAGCACGGTATTGGACCACGTGGCGTAGGGGGGTTTTTTTACCCCAAACAAATATTGCTCGAGTTTATTGTGTATATTTCTGAATGTGCAATAAATGAGGATTTTCCTCTATTTATAGTGTTTGGGGATCAGTTCCCCTTTCACGGGTTGAAGTGCCACGTGTCACCCGAGGGTTGGTTCAAGAACCCTGTGAGGCTGACACGTGTCAACATGCTATTGGGCCACTTGGACCGGGTATTTTTACCCTAAACACAAGGTACTAATCTTTGACAAAAGTTGCAATTAGATTACTGAAGTTTCAGAAGTTGCAATTAAGACACTCAAACCTTGGTTGGAGGTAAAAATTCCGGTGGTGACCTACATCAACCGGTTAACTCATTTTTTTACTTTAAAAAAAATAAAAAATAAATAAATGCTGAGTTGTTGCCTCGAAAAAGAAAAAGCCATCATTGCGTACTGACAATGGCACAATTAATTAAAAATAATTAAAAATTCAAAACCACCACCAGCCCCAACCCCAGTCACCTCCCGGCACCACCATCGGCCCAGGCTGGCCGCCAGCAGAGTCGCGCCCAAACCGCAGCTCCCCCGTGCCTGTCCGCAGGTGTGCGAGGTTTTGAGGTGCAATGAAGAAGACGAAGCAGTTGAAGAAGTAACTGCTGCTTCAAATGCCACTTGAATGGCTATCAATTCTTCATTTGTAAAGGGTTTGTTCCAATCTTCCATAACTGTCCGCAGATTAGGGGATCCCACTGCTCTTGCAATTTGCAAAGAGAAAGAGAAGAGAGTGAATTGGTTAAGATGAAATCATATATCACAAAAGAGCAACAACTACAAATTAATCAATTATCCAAGTTCCAACAATAAATCAGCCACTGCAATTCAATTAAATGTCGAAATATTCCAACCTTAATGGATTGAACAAAACCTAACTTATGTAATTAGCCACTTTTATCCAATTATTATTATCAATTGCTCGTATGTAGATAAAGCCTGTAATTTATATGTATTTAAACAAAATTGTGCAGTTTTCTAACCTAATTGAGTAGCATAAGTAAAAGTAATAGCTTTTTGAAAATACCGTGAACTGGGTTGCTACCGTCCAACGTCGTCAACAACTCAACAAGACCGAATGACGGAGAAGTGAAAGAACATTAAGAAGGTGAGAATCACCCATGTCTGGCCAAGCAAAAAACTTAAAATACTCATCCACCATCGCAACCGCTGTTAAAACTTAAAATGCATATGAGGATTGAGGAGTAAAGGTACGGCGGTCGGCGCATTTAAGGGGAGGGATATAGCGGTCGGAGCAGCAAGGTGCAGCGCTCCGAAGCTGAGGGCCGGCAGACGGCCAGGCTGGTGGGAGTGGGCTGCCGTGATAGGTGGTTAGGCTGATGGGGTGGTTTTTTAATATTATATTTTTTTCAATCAATATGTTGAAAATCACCAAACATTAGTACCTTCTATTTATTGTGTCAGCAATTTAATTTTTTTTTTTTTTTTTTTTGCAAATGGTAACCTGTTGTAGTGTGTGAATTTTGATTTGAATACTCTATCTGCAACTTTTGAAACTTTAATATTCTATCTGCAACTTTTGACAATCATTAGTACTCCTTTTTAGTTTACTTCTTTAATATTTCTAATCATATTTTATTCTTCTACCAACCCTACTTTTTATATTTTATTACTACGTATCTTCTATTATTTTTCCTAAAATTGCGCATATGAAGAAATATAACAAGTAATAATTAAAATACGAAGGGAGTATAATTTTTTTGAGGAACTAAGGGAGTATAATTTTATTTAACGGTTTAACGAATAAATCTAGGGAAATTTTACATGGTGGCCTCATGGTTTTGAGTATTTTACGTGGAAGACGAAGTTTTTTTCAGCTCTCTTTAGTGGCACCAAGGTTTAGAAAAAATGATCATAGTGACCTTTTTTAGGTTTATGGCTAACTTTTTTAGTTAAAATGGTTAACCTTTGATTTTTTTTATTAAAAAATTATTTAAATTATATTTTAAAATAATAAAATTTAAAAAATAAACAAAAAAAAAAATTTCCCAAAAATTCCCAGCCACCCCGCAAACCCTAACCTTGCCGGAATCCAGCCACCCCCGACCACCGAAACCACCTTCCAGCCCTACCCCCAACCACAAAACCACCAAAACTGGTCGGTCGGCCTTCCACAACCCGGTGGTTGGCCGGTTTTCGGCGAGGCTAGGGGTGGGGTTAGCGTTTGACGGCGGGGATAGATGGCTTGGAAATTTTTTGGTTTTTTTTTTTATTTTTTTTTTAAATTTTATTATTTTAAAATAAAATTAAAATAATTTTTAATAAAATAAATCAAAGGTTAACCATTTTAACTAAAAAGGTTAGCTATAAACCTAAAAAAATGTCACTATCGTCAATTTTTCTAAACCTTAGTGCCACTAAACAGAGTTGAAAAAAACTTCATCTTCCATATAAAAAACTCAAAACCACGAGGCAACGGTATAGAATTTCCCCTAAATCTACACCCCACCAAAAGCAAGATAAACAAGAACAAAAACAGACGTCTACATTGGTGTCAGAAATAGACCATATCAGTCAACATCTTGAAGGATGTAGCTACCCCAATCTCAATTTCTCAGTATTCTAATACTCTACCCTCTACATTCCCCCACCATACTACTCCGTATACTTCATTATTTAATCTCTGAAAAATCTCCACATTTCTTTCTTTCTTTCTTTGACAAAGACTGATTATTCATTATACAAACACTACTTTCACTTTAAATTTTCCATTAATAATCATCTGTTCCACTTTTTTTTTCCCCAGATTTCAGTATATTCACACTACAATTTCTTTGAACTTATCCAACTTTCAGTTGTCCTAGGCTATTTTCATAGATCTTCAAGGTCAGTTTCTTCCATTTCTCTATCAAATACTTCATTTTAGTATGGTAATTATTATATTAAATTAAGTAATTAAATAAACTATCTTTTATTTTCTTTAAATATTACATAATTTTGTATAAAATCAGCTTAATTTTCTTGCACTTTTTGTGGGTTTAAGCTTTGTTCATATCTACTTTACTAATCAACCTTCTTGATGTTTTTAATATTATATTAAATAAAAAAAAGTATAGTTAAGTATTTTAATTTAAGTGTACTTTGTGTTGCTAATAAGTATTTTAATTTTGTATTTTAATTTAAGTGTACTTTGTGTTGCTATTATCTGATGTTTATTTCAAATTAGTTATCTGGGTTTTGTAGATTAAGTTAATTTTGTTTTGAATTTCATGCTTTTGAGGGTTTTACTGTTTCAGAAGTTCAAAAACATTAGTCTTTTATTTCTGGGGTTTTAGAGAAGTGAACATTGACCTATAATGGGGGGCTATGAATCTGAGCTTCCTGCAAGAAATGCAGAAGGTGACCTTGTTGCTGCTGCACAGCATATTGTTGCAGCATTAGGGACTAAAAAGATTTTGTCTCAGGATGAGAGGAAAATCTTGGTTGATCTTCGAACCCGATTGACTGCAATGTCTATGGTTGATGATTCAAAGGTTATTGAGTCTCCAACTAAGGGGGTTAGTGAGACTGAAGAGTATCTTAATATAGTCTCGGAGAAGATAACGAATCGTGTATCGGATGAGACGATGATATGGGATATGGGTCCGGAGGATGCTTCTGAGTACCTAAAGGCGGTTGATGAGGCGCGTGTTTTGACTGAAAATTTGGAGAATTTGTGTTTGAATAAGGATGATGAGGAAGTGGAGCTATTAAGGAAAGCTCATGATGTGCTTCAGACTGCAATGGCTAGACTTGAAGAAGAGTTTGGGCATATAATTGTGCAGCATAGCCAACCTTTTGAACCGGAGCACAAGTCTTTCCGCTCTAGTGAGAGGGGTGATTTGGTTGGTAGCCCGATTTCCTTGGAGGATGATCCACTAGAGGATTCACTTCAAAGAGAGTCTGTTGGCAAAAACTTGGAGGATTACATTGTTGATTTAGTGCACCCAGATGTGATTCCGGACCTAAAGTGTATTGCAAACATGATGTTTATTTCTAATTATGACCATGAGTGCTCCCAGGCTTATGTTAATGCAAGAAAACATGCCCTTAGTAGATGTCTCTTTGTTCTTGAAGTCGAGCCACTAAGCATTGATGATGTACTTAAGATGGAGTGGGGCAGCTTGGATTCTCAAATCAAGAGATGGGTTTGGGCCTTGAAAATCTTTGTAAGGGGATATCTTGCAAGTGAGAAAAGGTTATGCGACGACATCTTTGGGGAGTTTGGCTCGTTGAGCTCTCTGTGCTTCACCGACTCATCTAAAGCTTCAGTTATGCAGCTACTAAGTTTTGGGGATGCTGTGGCTGTGAGCCCAAGGCAACCTGAGAAATTGTTTCGTATCCTTGATATGTACGAGGTTCTAGCAGAACTGCATCCTGATATTAATTCTTTGTATGCGGATCAGGCTATTAGGGATGAGTTCTGTGAAGTTTTGAGGAGATTAGGTGATGCAGTGAGGGCGACTTTTCTTGAATTTAGGAATGCTATTGCTAACAATGCATCAGTCAATCCTTTTGCCGGGGGTGGGACTCACCATCTTACCAGGTACGTCATGAACTACCTGAGGCTCCTCACTGATTACAAAGACACTCTAAATCAAATTCTTGAAGATGCTGAAAGAGAGGAATCTCTTTCTCCCATGGCTGATTCTGTTGCATTTGGAGATGAGGTGAACCAATTCGATAGCACTTGCAATGCTACTCCGATGGCTTTCCATTTCCGATCCCTCACTTCAGCCCTCATAGCTAATATAGATGAAAAGTCAAAATTGTACAAGGATCCTGCTTTACAGCATTTCTTTCTCATGAACAATATTTATTACATTGCACAAAAAGTGAAACATTCTGAGCTTAGAGATATATTTGGGGATGACTGGATCAAAAGGCATAATGGGAAATTTCAGCAGCAAGCTATGAATTATGAAAGAGCTACCTGGAGCTTCATCCTCTCCCTTCTCAAAGATGATGGAAGTGAGAACTCTGGATCGAATTCAAGCATAAAAAATGTTCTGAAAGAAAGGTTGAGGAGCTTCTATGCTTCCTTTGAGGAGGTCTATAGGAATCAAACTGGATGGCTGGTCAGGGATCCCCAGCTTCAGGAAGATTTGCGCATTTCAACATCGCTTAAGGTAATCCAAGCATACCGAACCTTTGTGGGACGACACAGCAACGAAATCAGTGACAAGTACATAAAGTACACTGCTGATGATTTGGAAAATTATATACTAGATTTGTTCAGTGGATCTCAAAGGTCATTGAATAATATCTGTAGAAGATGATCTGTTCGCTATTTAGAACGGAGCATCAGTAAGCTGTAATATTCGCTTTTCTGATTTTGTTTTCAAGTTCTCTACATATATAATGGTTGAATCTCGTTTTTTCACGTCTCTGTATTCAAACTTTGTACAATATGTGGCAATTATGTAAAGCAGATGGTTTTGGTATGGCAAATGTCAAGAATTGAGATATACTTTGTATTTCACATATTTTTTATTTTAGTAGTTTGGATGTTTATGGTACATAAGACTGCATTTCTTCTTAGATCTTTTGAGATTAGATGAAAATAGAACTGCATTTGCATTCGAAACAGTGAGACAGTGTAACAGGTTCTTGCATTTCATGTAGTTGCTTCTAGTTTTTCATTACATGGTATAAAAGCTTTTTCAGTACCGACTGCCAAAGAAAGCATTACAAGAAGAGCAAAATATACTTCCATCTTCGTCTTCTGAGATGAAGATGTCACCGAGCTAAGGAATGAGAAGAAGAAAAACAGGAAATAGGATAAAATGTTTTCATCTATACACTACTTTTTTTGCTCTGTTATAAATTATCTCTGTCATAATGCGAAGTACAGAGTTTAATAATATGTTAGAATGGTTTAAATTGGCAATTTAATTAATTCAATTTTATTTTTTATTTTTTTTTGTAGGTAAGATGAGGAGTCCTACCTGGTCGGAACCCCTCATGAGTCAACCCGGCCCAGGTTAGCGGGCAAGACAATTTGGGACAATAGATCGAGCTTAGGCTAGATTTGATAATGTTTGGCTGTGCTAAAGCAACTATGAGATATCGTATAGAACTTACTATTAGTACAAAATATGAAATATGGGCCAAACCGGGTTGAATTCGGGTGGTTTGGTTTTGGTTTAAATTAGGTACGGTTTTCTCACAATAACCTTTGGTTATCAGGTTGGGTTAGGATTTAGGAATTGCATGAACAACCTACATAAAATTAGCTCGGCATATTTGCATCCTTTGCCATGACCTATATGACTATAAAGATAACAGTTAACTTTCCCCTAATTCAACAGATAATCATAATTCTAACATTGTCTTTAATAAAGTGAACTACGTGTTGTTCTATCTTAATCAGCTCCATAAAGACTTAATGATTGCTCTCATTCTATAATGTATCAAGCTTTGAAGTCCTCGATGAAAAGCCTAAAGAAATTTTTCTTTTCATCTCTTTGTCATGTGGATATATTGTACGGAGTACTTAATTACCATGGCTAGCATACACCTGAACTTGCTCTGGTGCACTGTCCAGTTACTCGTATTGTATTGTACTCCCTGTCTCCCTATATCACTATATGTTTACCCTATTTAATTTTTTACCGTTTATAAACATAAACATATCCAAATATCCAATTATAATGAGAAAATAAACTCTCCCCACCATAATACCATCGGTTGATTTAGTTTGAATACAATATACTCAATTAACCATATTGGTATAAAAATTAACAACCTTGTGACATATTGGTATATAAATTATCGCCGGCGACATATTGGTATAAAAGTTAGCAATTTGCGACATGGTATAATAGTTAACCAAATGAAGACATATTGGTATAAAAGTTAACAAATGACGACATATTGGTATAAAAGTTAGTGAGTGATGACGTTTAACCCTTTTTCTAACTAAAATAATAAGCGCATATTGTACACATGATTTATTCTTATTCTTATAACTTTGTTCTATTGTTTTTTTGTACTGTTTTTTTGCTTTAAATATTCATTGAATAATTTTTAAATACTATTAAAAGCGAAAAAAAAGCTAAGCCAAAAAATAAAAAAGGAAGGAAAAAGGGGAGGAAATATGAGAATATAGAGGAATAATTAAGATTAAGCATTGAAATTAATCAAGAAAAATTACAAGATTAACCTTTGATTACATAATCCGAGATTACATTGAGCTTTCAATTTTTTTTGCAATATTCAGTATTATATGTACAAATAAATTTTCTCCCAACTTCTTAATTATTAAACTAACATGCCAATTTCAACTTTTGAGACGTTAAATCATAAGAATTTATATTCCTTTCATTTTTTGAGTTTTTTATTTGATCTTACAATTTTTTGTTATTATTTGCCGATAATCTTAGGTGCATGGGTGTGGAGGAGAGAATTATTTGTCGTAAATAATGAGTATTAACAACAAAAAAATTTCAATAATTAAAACTAAAATAATAATAATTAAGTACTTACTGCGGCAAGAAAAAAAGGGTTAAATGTCACATCTTGTTAACTTTTACACCAATATGTCACTGTTTGTTAACTTTTATACCAATTGTCGCCAGTGCTAATTTATATACTAATATGTCACCAAGGTGCTAACTTTTATACCAATATGGTCAATTGGCCATATACTCTAAAGCCCTATTCTTTTGAGCTGACAAAATAGAAGCACTCCCTCCGCTTTATTATGTTACACTTATTAAATACGACTTTTTTTTGTAAAGCGTTCCACTTCCATTTTTGGCATACAACTACATAATATTATTTCTTTTTCCTTTCATGGTCCCACTCAAACCCGAGAACCTTTTATATACACCCGGGTGCATATAGAGGTAGGTGCACCCAAAGGTGTATATTTGCTCATTTGATATAATTTTGCTCATTTTAGATTTTAAAATGAGAAAAAAATATATCAGATGAGCATAATACACTTGGGTGCACCTTACACCCTGGTGTATATAAAAATTTTCACTTAAACCCAAGACTACTTTTTTTTAATTTATTATATTAATATTATTGTTTTCACCCTCCCATCCCTTTCTTCCAATACAATATTAACTCCGAAATCTTATTGTATAATTTTATTAATACCCCAATCACTTTTTATTTCCTCCGTTTTTATTTACTTAGCATACCACTTTGGCACACATTTTAAGGGAGATATTAAACTAAGCAAACAAACAAATTAATTGACAAAGTTTACCACCAATAAGAAAAAAAAGTTACAAGTTACAACGATTAAATTTATAGCATAATTTGTCCATTTATATAGTTTAATCACTTGCTCAAATATCATGCCAAAAAAGCGTGTTACAAGTGTAAAAAACAAAAGAAAAAAAAAAAGAAAAATTGCATTAAAGTAAATTAGTGGGAGCTGATATTGCCAAGGCATCAAAATGTGTAACAATTGGAAAAAAAGAAAGGAGGGAGTAGAAAAATAAACTTTACTTATGAAGTGAAAATGAGCATGCCCCAATTACTCAACTTGAGTAACGAATTTTGTATCTCAAATGACAATATTGTAATTCCAAACAACTTTTTTTTTAATGTTTTACAACATCAAACTCCGTTTTTTTTTCCGGTATCCTTCCATCTTCTTCAACCTCCCTTCTTCCATTCTAATCATATGGTAGACAAACCCAAACAACCACAATAAACATTCAGCCTAACTCCATCAACACCCCAACGAACCCCAATACCACCGTTTCTAATGGCATCGCTGGCGTTATGAAAAATTCTGAGAAAATTATACAAATCTATGGCATGGTAAACCCCAAATAGAAGGTGTTTGCATTCCTCTGTTGATTTTGTCCACCTCCATTGAAGAATTCAAGCTCCAATGTTGAAGAATTTAAGCTCCAATGTTGAAGAATTCAAACTCCATTGACGAAGAGAGAGACAAAAACGTTCATTTAACGTCTTCCAAGCCAAACATAAGCAAAAGACATTTGTATTTCCATCAAAATGCACGAAAAGACTAAAATATCCCCTTGAGAAAAAAAAATTTGTTTCTCAAGTTCAGTTACTTAAATTTCTTAGTTAAAAAAAAAGGAGAAAATACGAGTTTATCACATTGATAAACATGAGTTTTTTATCACCATGATAAATATGAGTCATTTATCACTGTAGATACCTGATTGTGTCTCCCCAAAAACCAAACCCAGTGATGAGTATTTTTCACGTTTTGATTGACGAGTTCGGTAAGAGTTGAAGAGTCTCGCAAAGGTTCCTTAAGCCTTGACCATAAATCTAACCTTACCCAAAGTGTTTTTAATTAAAATCATTCATTTTGTGCCCAAATTATAAAAACGTCCAAACCTGTTTATTTTGGTCCATATTCCCAGTCCAATTATTGTTTAGTTGGATGGGGCTTAAAAAGAGATTTCCAACGATATATTATAAGCTCAAATCCAACTTATAACGAATGAGTTATGGCCAAAATACTTAACCGAGCTCAAACCGAGCCTAGGTCCACCTTTAGTACGACCCAACGATTATATGGGGCCCAAATACTTTATTTAGGCCCTATATGATCATACTTCCAATCCTAAATCAATTAAGAACTTCTAGAATCCTCTAGGAGGTTCTAATCTATCCTTCCCAAAAAGATAAAGATCGTAGAAATTTAGATCGAATAAAACTCTTCATATGATAGTCCATATCCTTTTCGAATTCAAAGACGTTCTGATATCTTTTTCATAGAAAACCCATCATAAACAAACTCTGTACAAACAATTTCTATCTTATGAACCATCACACATCGATGGGTTCATCGTGACGCGACAGAAACTGCCGCAAAATGACAATGTGTTGCAGTGCGACGAAATTCTTGGATAAAATCTGATTTTTTAATTTGTCGCGACGCGACACTCCCGTCGCAAAGCGACAAAGGTCGTCACGACGCGATAAGTCCGTCGCGACGCATCAAGCCCTGTCGCGACGCGTCAAAAAGTTTTATCTCAATCAGAACTTTTAATCTTTTTCCGATCGTTCGACTCTCTTTTTTCCTTATAAATAGAGGTCGTTTACCCCGTTTTGAAATCAGCTACAATCATCATTAACAATTAGCATCAACAATTACCTTTATACTATGATATTCTTAAACACCCATGTTCTTAGCTTTAGCCTAAACACATCCTTGATATTCCCTTAAGTCAGTCACCATAGTTTCTTAGGAAATTCAAATACTCCAAGCCAAACTCGACATTGTCTTCGACCTCGACGTGAAAGGTTGATAGTTCTGAGGGTTTGGTCCCAAATCTATATTTTAATTCTTAATTAATTTAATTTATTATTTACTTTATTGATTTCGCTTTCTTGAAGTTTAGTAACGTGTGTATTGTTTTAATAGCAAGAAGGTCGAGGCATCAAAGTAAGTAATTTAATTACTTAATTATTCTTTTGATTTTGGATTAGAAATCATGTTTAGGATGTTATATTTTTTATTTCTAG